TCCTTCTAATCAAAGGGAAAATTAAAATCATGAAGTTAGGAGTCATTCCCATACCCGACTTGATGCATTCCTCTAGGTTCATACACTCTCATTTTTATCATATCACTTCCTCACCTTTTTTATCCACATTTTCTCATTACTTATATTTTTCTCACTCCACATGCCATGTTTGCACATTTTATTTCTTTTTCTATCACTTGTTTATTTTTCTACCTCACAAATGGCACCCAATTGCATTTTTATATTTACTACCATTATACCTTATTTTCATCCACTTGCACACAAACACCTTTATTTTCTCCATTGGCACACATGCACTTTCTTTACATTTGCACACTTGCACTTTTCTTACATTTGCACACTTACACTCATACTTGAGTCTTCATTTGCATTATTCATGACTTCTATGAGGGCTTTCCTTACTGGCCATCACAATTCATGTGGTTGGGACCAAAAAGCCTCATAAGAAACATTTTTAGATTTAGGATTGCATTTGTTTTCATATCCATTAGTCATATCCAACATGCAACACATACTTTGGGTAGAAAAATTAGAAAAAGAAGGGCTAAGTCACGCAACTAGCTTTGGCTAGGATAAGGGAATGCCTTAGGCTTTGCCTTTGCCTTCTCCCTTATCAAATGTGACCCCCGATCCCTTTCTTTGGTTACGTAGACCTAAAAATTCTTTAAAAAGGGTTTTGTTTACTTTTCTTTCCAAAAAATCACTTCTTTTGGGTGACTTGGTACACCCTAACTCTATACCAAGTGGCGACTCCTTTTCTATCTAAAACCCTTTGTTTGGCCAAACCGTCGCATTTCACAATCCCACGGCCTTTTATTTTCACTTTCACACACGTTCACATACATATCCTACACACTACTTTCACCACCATTTCAAAAAGTGGGGCGCGACACCAACATTTCTTATGAAGACCTCCAAAGCCAAATTATACATTTTCATGGTCAAAAATTGAAAGCTTAGAGAAAAATATAAACTATCCGTAAAATAGGACTTAAGGGCAGTCAAGGGTATTTCGGCCATTTCACAAGCTACAGTACTCCAATCGATCTAAAATGTTGCAGGTAGATAGCTAACTCATAATCTACAACTTTCATGTTTTGTCCAAAAGCTGGTTCGGTCTAAAACATGGAGAAATGTGCAGTCCAAGTTGAGTCCAGAAACAAGGTAAACAGAAATTACACTTCTAAACTAACCCTAGTATAGAGCCACAAGTGCACATACTAATCATAAGATATACCACATAACTAATGAGGCCACAATGCCCCTTCAGTATGAGCCAATTGATAGCTCCAAAACCAATCATAATTAAGCCCCAATTCGAAACCCTAACATTGATATGGACCTACACAAGCTAGAATTTCCGAAGGCAAGTGAAACTAGCACATATAACATCAATCTTTCACATAACACAACTATCAAATGCTCTAAAAAATTGGACAGCATTTTCATTTAATTTCCTTATTTTCTATCCTATAAATAACACCAATACCATCTCAATTCAATCACCATTACACATACAAATCATAGAATATAAAACACACCTAGTTAAGGCCACAATACCCTTAAATCTTAACCAATTAAGAGCTCAAGAACCAACCATAAGTGATGTGTGCACGGATTAGAGCCCACGCAAGGACCCAGTCCGAGTTCTATTGGGCCCAGTCACACGTGCACGAGGCAAGCTCTTCAAAGAATCCCTCCAAGGCCTTGTCCGAATTGTCCAAGACCAACATGGAGTCCATAGAGATATTGAAGGCTTAGAAGGAGACAATCAAGTTATCTACACCATGATCCAAGCCATGAAGAGACAAGTGGACCTCCAAGGGAGTTGGTCGAGTAAGGCCTTAGGCCTTAGTGTCTAATAGAGTTGGATTAGTTATTTAGTAGAGCATGGGCCGGCCCATCTTGACCCCAAGATGGCCGAACTTCCTTTCCCTGTTCCCTAGGGTTTCAGTAACCTTAGCCTATAAAAAAGGCTTGCTTTGTAAGGTTTTGAGGAGACGTTTCATCAATAAAGCTTGATTATTTTCTATTCTTCTTATTAAGAGAGATTCGAGCCTCTTACTTGCTTTGGCAAGGGTTATTGAGCAATCTTTCGTCGTGTCCTTGATTGTTCTATCGACCTATCCACTTGAGTAATCACCTCAATTGGAGTTGTCATTCTATCACCTTCAACCGATTCGTGTCGTTCGTGTTGGTTTTAGGATCCGCAATCCAAGCATTGGACAACCTCGCTAGATCCTTGGGCAAACGTGCTACGTGTCTCGAAACAAGTTGATCGAGGACCATATCAGTTGGTTTCAGAGTTTTGGTAGAGGTATCTTCCGTTATATCCGTTGTTTTTGTTTTTATTTGTCATCTAAAATTCCTTGTTTCCGCTGCCGAGTCAAAAAAAAAATTTCTGTCCGTTTGTATTACTTCATGTCTTGATTCTGTCTATGACGTTTGAGTCCAAATCTGTCTGCTTTTGTGTCATTGAACCTTGTTGCTAATCTGTCCGCCCTTGTTGCACATCATTACAAAAAAAAAACAGAGAAGAATTTCTGTCCGCACTTTTGTTCTTGTGTCTCCAATTTCTATTCGGTTAGAGTCTTTCCGTTGTTCATACAAAATTCTGCCCATTAGTTTTTTTTGTTGTCGCATAGTAATCTGTCCAAGTCATGTTACCTTGTCGTTAAGAAAAAAAATTCTACCCATGAAGCTTCTTGTTCTTGTCGCGGCAAATTTTGCTCTTTATCGAGTTCAAATCTATCCGTAGTCTTGTTCATTGTTTTGGTGTCCATTCTGCTGTAGTTTGCGCACACATGGGACGTACAAATTCTGGTTGGAAGTCGTAAACCTGTTTGGTTAGTTGGACGTCGCTTGGCAGCAAGAAACCTAACTCTTGTGGCAGCTAGGTTTCTTGTGCGGGTAGGGTTTGTGTTTAGCGCTAGGGTTCTTGCTTCCAATTCTGTCAAAGTCTATTTCGGTTATCCAAGTTATTTTATTTAATTTTCTTATCTGGTTTTTGGTTAAAAACTTGTTGGGGTTGAGAATCTTGAAGAGAAACTACAAGATTTTAAGGTTCTTGAAGTTCTTAGTTACTACCTTGAAGTTCTTGAAACCTTGAAACGTATCTTGCTAGTTCTTGGAGGATTGAAGAAGTGCATTGAAGAGCCGACCAGGTTGCTGGAAATTTTACTCATTCGGCCCAAGTATTTGAGTTGTCTTTAAGTAAAAAAAAAAAAACAGAAACGAAAAGAAAAGAAAGAAGGCCATTCGGGTAGGACAAGAGGCCGAACAAGAAAAAGGAAGAACTCGGTTCTTTTATTGCCAAGACAACTACCATTACATCTTGTTTCTAACCCAAACCAGAAAATTGCACAAGGAAAGGAACTCAAAAGTTTTGACCTACCTTTTCTTGGAATTCTTGATCACTTTGAGCCTTGATCACTTGTACCACCCTTCGCGGTTCTTGAGGTTCTTGATCACCTTGAGCCTTGAACACTTGTACCTCCATTCGAATAAACAATTTCCTGTACTCCCTAGCAGTGGTAAAGGGCTTTCTTGGTTTGGGAATAAATTTCTTGGAAGATTCTTGAGCAACTCGTGGGTGTAGCTTGCATGAGGTCACTTGCATCCTCTTGCGGCGACGCCATAGTCAAAACTGTCTTGGGTGTTGAGTAAGGTGGAAGGGTAGCCGAATCTGGTTTTGTGTGTGTATGAGCTCGGGTTGTGTGGAGGGAATCTTATAGGTGTTCAGCCGACTTGATAGAGGATTGAAAGGGGAAACCAAATCTGAAATTTTGGTTGGAAGGAGTTAGAAACCAAATCTGATTTGCAAGTCCACTTGTAGAGGAATTTGGGAGTTTCTAAAGTTATTCAAGAAAGGGTTTTCTAAAGAGTTTCCAAACTTAACTTGTTTTTCTAAAATCACTTTAGGAAACTAAGTGAAACACTTGGATAACTCCTTTGTTTTCCACTTGACTACTCCCCTACTTTCTCTCCTACATTTTAGGAAACCACTTCTACATTTTAAGAATCTATCCCTACCTTTTAGAAAGCTAGGGTTTCTTTGTCCTTGTGTTCACATTGGCGCCTATCCTTGCTGTCCGCCCTTGTCTTTTGCAAATTTGCCTTTCTACTTCATTCTCTACTACCATTTGTGTTGTGCCTACTTGATTACTCTTGTGGAAAAAGTTGGTGACGATTATTGGATTTGAGCAGCATTTCTCACCTACCTAAACTGACAGGTAAAGGCATTGGGTAAGATCTTTAAAGAGTGCTTTGAGTGGTAAACACGAGAGAGAGTGACACACTAAGGGAGTGAAGTGAGAATATACTTGCATTATTTTTCGTGTTACTAACCTTTTGCAGGGCGTAAAGAGGGACATGGAGCAACAACACCCAACCACAAACTACTCATTGATGTTCACCGCCATGAAGAACGAGCTCAAGCGAATTAGTGAGCAACAAATGGAGGAGTTGCACTCTCAGTTTGACAAGCTATCCAAGAGTCTCACGCGAGGCTCCCATTCGAGGTCTCACAACCGGAGTAACCATGACACCAAAGAGGCAAATAGCGAGGGCTACTCTGCTAGTGAGGATGAGGAAAAACCGAGAAGCCTAGAGGGGACACGTCTAAGAATGAACTCAAGGACTTAAAATTCAATACCCTCGTTCAAAGGCAAGAGTGACCCTGAAGCTACTTGGAATGGGAAGGCCGCATCGAAATGGTCTTCGACTGCTACGATTATAGTGAGGAACAAAAAGTGAAAGTTGCCACCGTTGAGTTCACCGACTACGCCTTTAGTCTGGTGGGACCAAGTGAGGACCATAGGAGTAGAATGGGAGAACCACGAGTCCGAACTTGGCGAGAACTCAAGGCATTGATGCGTAAGAGATTTGTTCCAAGCTACTACAATCGAGATCTCCACTCCAAACTGCAAACCCTCACTCAAGGCAACATGAGTGTGGAGGACTATTACAAGGAGATCGAGATGGCCATGATGAGGGCAAACATTCAAGAAGATGGTGAAGTGACCATGGCCAGGTTTCTTAGACGGTCTCAATCCTGACCTTCAAGAAGCCTTAGAGCTCCAACATTATTTAGACATCCATGACCTTCTTGAACTAGCCATCAAGGCCGAGAGGGGAAAGAAATTGAGGCGTGGGACCCGTACCTTCCAAACTTCCAACTCGCCTTCCTAGAAAGGAAACCTGCCATGGAGAACAACCCACGAGCTAGAAATTCGGCTACACCAACTCCTTTCTAGCCAAATTCAAGGTAATGCCTCTAACCGTAATACTAATTTTACCCTAACAAAGCTGTTGATGCATCCAGGTCTAATTCTAAGGCACCACATGAGAACTCCTAAGACTAGGAGTAGGACATCAAGTGTTTTAAATGCCAAGGGTTTGGATATATTCAGTCTCAATGTCCCAACCAAAGGGTCATGTTAATCACTCACAATGGCGAGATCGTGTCCGATGATGACGATTTTGAGGAGATGCCTGGATTGATCAAAAGGTGACTGCCTGGAGGAAGACTTGGCTAAGGAAGACTGCTCTCCTACACAAGGAGAAGTAGGTTGCTTAGTGGCATGACGAGTGCTAAACGCTTGAGTTAAGGAGGACGAGCAACTACAAAGAGAGAACTTATTTTACACTCGTTGTAAAGTAGGTGACAAGTGTGTAGCCTCATCATCGATGGTGGGAGTTGCACGAATATGGAGAGCTTGCTCATGGTTGAGAGTTTAGGGCTCCCAACTACTAGATATCCACACCCTTACCGCCTCCAATGGCTAAGTGAGGATGGAGAGGTACGCGTCTTCAAACAGGTACGCATTCCCTTTTCAATGGCACTTACATTGACGAAGTCGTGCGTGACGTAGTGCCTATGCATGCTACACATGTCATCTTGGGGAGACCCTGGCAATTTGACAAACACGTCACATTCGACGGAATGGCAAATAAGTACACACTTTTACACATGGCAAACGTAAGGTCGTCACACCACTCACACCTACACAAGTGTATGAGGACCAACTTAAGTTGCAAAAAAAGTGTGAACAAGACCGTCAAAGGAGGAAACAAAAGGCGGTCGACCCTGGCAAAAGCTCCACTTCTACAAGTGAGCAATTGACCAAGGGTCAAGTGAGCACACCTAATGTTACACATGACAATGCACCCACTACACCTACCACTAGGAAGCAAAACATGATCATTAAGGCTAAGGACGTTAGAAAAGTTGTGAATTCTGATCAGCCTGTACTTCTCATGATTTGCAGACACGTGCGCTGCCTTAGATGTTGCTAAGCTCGATAAGGCATTGCCTTCGAGTATAGTTGCTCTTTTACAGGAATTCGAGGATGTATTCCCCAATGAGGTCCCTGATGGTTTACCACCCATTCGAGGGATTGAGCACCAAATAGACCTGATTCCTGGAGAACCACTACCAAACAAACCGGCTTACCGCATGGTCCAGAGGAGACAAAGGAGCTTCAATGACAACTTGATGGCCTGTTAGGTAAGGGTTGGGTAAAAGAAAGTCAGTCCTTGTTGTGCCTGTGATACTAGTCCCCATAAAGGATGGTACTTGGCGCATATGCACTGATTGTAGGGCCGTCAATGCTATACTGTTAAATATCGTCATCCCATTCCTAGACTAGATGATATGCTTAATGAACTCGATGGTGCTCTTATATTCAGTAAAATTAATTTAAGGAGTAGCTATCATCAAAAGGATGAAAGAGAAGGCGATGAATAGAAAACAGCCTTCAAAACCAAACATGGTCTCTATGAGTGGCTAGTCATGCCTTTTGGGTTGACTAACGCCCCTAGTACATTCATGCTGTTAATGAACCATGTCTTGAGGCCTTTCATTGGGAAATTCATCAATGTTTACTTTGATGATATTCTTAATCTATAGTCGTAGTGAACATGAGCACATGGAGCATTTGAGACTAGTTCTTAACACACTTCGGGAGGCGCGTCTTTACGCCAACCTTAAGAAGTGCACCTTTTTGTACTAATGAGCTCGTATTTTTAGACTATGTTGTGAGTTTATAGGGCATCAAAGTAGATGAATCCAAGATTGAGGCCATCAAGCAATGGCCAACTCCAACATCCGTCCATGAGGTGCGCAGCTTCCATGGATTGGCGGGCTTTACCGGCGTTTTGTCAAAAATTTCAGCACCATTGCTGCCCCATTGACCGCCGGACCAAGAAATGACAAATTCCACTAGGGGGAAGCCCAAGAACAAAGCATTTCTTACCCTCAAAGACAAACTCACACGTGCCTCTGTTCTAGTATTACCTAACTTACCAAAAACTTTTGAAATTGTATGTGATGTTTCTGGTGTAGGTATTGGCGCTGTCCTCATGCAAGACAAGAGCCTTTGTGCATTCTTCAGTGAGAAGCTGGGAGGTGCTGCCCTGAACTACCCCACATACGACAAAGAGCTTTATGTGCTTATCCGAGCTTTGGAGACCTGGCAACACTACCTCCATCCAAGGGAGTTCATGATACACACTGATCGTGAGTCCTTGAAATTTTCTCGAGGGCCAAACAAAGTTAAGCAAGCGCCATGCCAAATGGGTAAGTTTCATCGACACCTTCTCCTATGTCATTTAAGTACAAAACTGGCAAACGAATGTAGTAGCTGATGCTTTATCTCGTAGACATTCTTTGCTTGCTGTTCTTGATGCCAAGTTGTTAGGGTTCGAGATGCTCAAGGAGATATATGCCCATGACCATGACTTTAGGGAAATCTATGCATCTGTATAAAGAATTCACATGGAAAGTATTTCTTGCACAATGCATTTTTGTTTTATGTGGATAAGTTATGTGTCCCTAACTCTTCCATTCGTGATCTTTTGATTCGAAAGGCACATAGTGGTGGTCTCATGGACACTTTGCATTGTTAAGACTCTAGCCATGTTACAAGAGCACTTTACTGGCCTCACATGCATAGGGATGTTGAACGCATGTTGGTAGATGTGTCACTTGTCATAAGGCGAAATCCAAAACAAATCCATACGGCCTGTATACTCCATTGCCTATTCCTCACTATCTTTGGGTAGACTTGTCTATGGACTTTATCTTAGGAACTACCTAGGTCACCAAGGGGTAATAATTCTCATCTTTGTCGTAGTTGATAGATTCTCTAAGATGGCACATTTTATCCCCTATCACAAAACTGACGATACATCTCACATTGCTAATTTGTTTTCAAAGAAATTGCCGTCTACATGGCATGCTAAGACCATTGTTAGTGATAGAGATGTAAAGTTCTTGAGTTACTTTTGGAAGACTTTGTGGTCTAAATTTGGCACTAGATTGTTTATTCTCCACCATTAGTCATCCATAAAGCGATGGACAAACGAAAGTTGTCAATCGCACACTTGGTACTCTACTTCGGTAATGATTAAAAAGAATCTTAAATCTTGGGAAGAGTATTTGCCTCATGTTGAATTTGTTTACAATCGAACTGTTCATAGTGCAACACACTACTCACCGTTTGAGATTGTCTATGCCTTTAACCCCCTGACCCCCCTGGATTTGGTACCCTTACCTTTCTCTGAGCACGCAAGCTTAGATGGGAAAAAGAAAGCTGATTTGCGCGCAGGTTACATGAAGCCGTTCGAAGCAAACATTGAGAGGCGTACTCAGCAATACATCAAGCAAGCCAACAAGCAACGTCGTAAGATGGTTTTTGAGCCTGGAGACTGGGTTTGGCTACACTTAAGAAAAGAGAAATTCCCAAGTAGCGACAAAGCAAGTTATCCCAAGAGGTGATGGACCCTTTCGAGTGCTCCAACGAGTTAATGACAATGCTTACAAATTGGAGCTATCTTGGGAGTACAATGTTAACGTGAACCTTCATGTCGTGGATTTGAGCCCATTTCTTGACGAGGAGGATTCAAATTTGAGGGAAAATCCTTCCCAAGAGGAGGGGATTGATGTGTGCATGGATCAGAGCCCACGCAATGACCCAGTTCGAGTTCCATTGGGTCCAGTCACACGTGCACGAGCCAAGCTCTTCAAAGAATCCCTCCAAGGCCTTGTCCGAATTGTCCAAGACCAACATGGAGTCCATAGAAATATTGAAGGCTTAGAAGGAGACAATCAAGTTATCTACACAATGATCCAAGCCCATGAAGAGACAAGTGGACCTCCAAGGGAGTTGGTTGAGTAGGGCCTTAGGCCTTAGTGTCTAATAGAGTTGGATTAGTTATTTAGTAGAGCATGGGCCGGCCCATCTTGACCCCAAGATGGCCGAACTTCCTTTCCCTATTTCCCTAGGGTTTTAGTAACCTTAGCCTATTAAAAAGGCTTGCTTTGTAAGGTTTTGAGGAGACGTTTTATCAATAAAGCTTGATTATTTTCGATTCTTCTTATTAAGAGAGGTTCGAGCCTTTTACTTGCTTTGGCAAGGGTTATTGAGCAATCTTGCGTCGTGTCCTTGATTGTTCTACCGACCTATCCACTTGAGTAATCACCTCGATTGGAGTCATCATTCTACCACCTTCAACCGATTCGTGTCGTCCGTATTGGTTTTAGGATCCGCAATCCAAGCGTTGGACAACCTCACTAGATTCTTGGGCAAACGTGCTACGTGTCTCGAAACAAGTTGATCGAGGACCGTATCAATAAGAAAGCCCCAATTTAAAACCCTAAAAATGGAATTTCTGCACAAATTCTGAAATTTTCCGCAAACAACCACAATTAACACACAAAGGCCCCATTTCACACCATATCAATCTATCATTCCATGACCATCTAACCATAATCATATAACATCAATAAATGTTATATCGATAACCATAATCATATAACCGCAAACTACCATCAAGTGTCTTTCATGACCTTCTCAAACACTAGAGTATATCGATAAATCATCAATAAATGCCTCGACCAATTTGTCCAAATACGGTTTAACTCCGATACCTTGGGTCCATAAATGCTTTCAGTGCATCTGTCAACTCGAAGGGTGTACCGAAATTTTTAGAGTGTCCATGTCTTAATTTGAAAGCGGTATTAACCACATTAGTTCCTAGGGTTCCCAAATGGGTAATATCTCTACTTTAAATCCAACTTAAATAGGATCACGGCTCCTTACAAATTATCGAATTCTTATCCATGTAAGACAAAAGGCAGTTGTTCTTAATGGTCACATCGCTCCAAACTCCATAATCTATAAATACATAGCTTCTGGCCTTCATTCCAAATACGATATCTAGTCCTTAATCGTTAGGCACATTGAATCCATTAATGACTTCCTTTCACTAGATCAAATCCACCGATTTTAATATCTCAAATTGGCATTTTCAAATATTGAATCCCATTTCAACGCTAAGTCCTCACTTCGGTCCCAATCTCTAGTCACTATCAAGACCTCAAGTGGTCTATATTCTCAAGCAAAATCTCGATCACATCCAATACCATTCGTGTCTTATAATAATTCTAAGGATGTGGGGCAGGACTTAAACATACGTGTCAGTCATAAAAATAATTAAAAGCGAAGTAAATTTTCATGAGTCATAAAGATCATAATAATTACATCCAGTTGGAAGAGGTTTAACAAATCCTTTCAAAAGGAAAAGGAGAACGACAGGATTGTAGCAAAACATGTCAAGTTGCCAGGATACAAAACAACAAAAGGCTTTTCTCTTTCAAAAGATCACAACCTCCAAAGGTGCTAGCCTAGTCTAGGGTAAAACTACAACCTCTATTCCTCGAGTGAAGTCAAACCATCTCAATCTGTGAAACCTTCACTACTAGGACCCCGTTCATAGCCATTAGTACTAACTACTTCCATCTGGCACTTGATTGCTTTGCGGTGGACCTAGTTGGCTATTGAGTACTTCCTCTTTTTAAAAGCTCTAGGGCAATCCGAAATCTTATGCTTGGTACTACCGCACCCCAGACACTTTCCTTGCTTCACCCAGCACTCGGCCTCAACGTGGTTAACCTTGCCGCAGTATCCACAATTTGCATGAGAAGTGGCGACTTGGCCAGTTCGAGGATTTTCTTTGCATTTCGTCTCTAATTCTACATTCTGGCGTAATAACTCAGTTTTCTCTGCATATTCTTGTTTCCACCGTCCTTCCCAGTACTCAGCTAGTTTTCTTTGAAATTCTACCTCATTTCGAAGAATATCCATTTCCTTACGCATTTCTTCCAAGGTTGTCATCTTACCGGTTGGTTTAAGTCAAATGCTAGCCTGCCAGGTAGATCAGAGGATCAAAATAAGTAACTATTCATAATGGAAGCTCAAGTCATAGTATTCTTTCATTCTTTTGCTTATAGGTTACCCCGAAATACAAATCTTAACTATCCTCTGCTTAATACGGCGAGTTCTTAAGTCTCCATAAAATCACTACCATTAATTCAAATTACAACCAGATACGGGGACTTTATTCCTTGATATAAAATTTTCTATGTCTTACTTCAATCTTCGATACTTGTCTATGAAGTGGTTTGAAAAGGGATCAAAATCTCGTAGTCCCATTAGTGCCTTATAGTATCCTTTCAAATCAATCTTACGTTTCAAGGTTAGGTCCCTCGGGAAACCAAGATACACGACCTTCAAGAATTATTTCATTTTCACACCTCTCCTGGTTCTTAGGTTGGCTTATTGGTCCAGAGCTTTGGTACTTAGCCAACCGTTCTAAGATATCAGTCGTATGGTAAATGGTGGGAGCTATGCAGGTGTTTTCCTTCATTTCTAGAGTTTCGGTTCAATCCAGCAATCATTCCCTAATTATCCCCTGGAGCTTGGGGTGGCATAATCCTTCGCACTCGGCTCTCTTTTTTTTTTTTTGGCCACTCATAACTTTAACAGTCATCTAAACGTGGCATAAAATGAATGCACATAAACGAAGTTTGAAAAGTGAGACTTTGATCACGCTAAACAAATACGAGAAAAAAAGGGAAGACGCTAAGATAATCGCAAATACGTACAACCCCCAATCATGGATTTGAAATCATAAAACAGTAAAGTCAAACATGTCGTGAGAAATGTTTAATTGCCTCAAAAGGTAGGAAATATGTTGAAACAAGACACAAAATACAACGGCCTTTAAGCGAGCGTCACCCTGTCTATCTTTGGTAAAAACTATCAAAATAGTTTAAATCACTAAATTTGTGATTGGCGGAATCCAAAAGTCTTCACTACCTCCGTAGGATCAATTTCATTTTCAGCACTAGGAGTTTTAGATCTCATGTCCCTTATCGAATATCTTGTCATTCTCCACTCATTCGACCAAGGTAACACACCCAGCCACCGACTCATCCATCCTGTCCTTAATTTCGAGCACTACTCTAACAAGTTGGTTTTTAGCTTTTGAAGCTTCTCACTAGGAGCCTTTGTCTTCCTCGCTCCTTAAATATCTCAATCTCCACTTCAGGAATCCTAGTAGTCTAGACATCCGCAATCGCCATCGGTTCTCGATTATCCCCTTGAATCACCCTATTTTCCTCAAATAGCCACTTCCGATGATCGGCCACTATAAACACTCCATTACTTGGGCACGAGTAAGTCCTTAGGAAATAACATATCGTACTAGTTCGGCGAGTTGGATTACACTTCCAACGAGCCCTCCCCTAGGCCCTTCACGGCCATGGTTACCATAATGCGTCTCCAAGACGGTGCAATGCCACCATTACTTTCCGCAACTTACAATTAAGATTAAAAGCTTAAATGGGACCAAATACACCAAATAAACTGGATTTGATCATCCCATACTATCCCACATGTATCACACAAGATCAAGACTCCTTAT